TTTTTTATAAACAATGAGCGACGGATAAAACCTTCATATTATTATTCAGNGAGGTGACCTTGATAACATATGTCAAAATTGTTGAGATCGGAAAATAGTCCGTATAACTGCATAATTACCTAAAATAATACAGTTTGCATTCCTCCCTCCGGGCGCATTTTTCTCCGGATAGACAACGAGCGAGATTGGAATGCTTCGTTGTACAAAGAGGTATCTCATGAATGGTTGAGGACAACCCGCTACCGCGAAACGACAATATTTTTGTCGTGCTTTAACGAGAGACCTACGTGAAATCCTTCAACGAGCGCAAGATTCGCAGAGAAAATTTCAACGATTTTTACTCGATTTTGCGCACAAAGCCGAGAGAGAGAGAGAGAGAAAAAAATCTATTGCGAGAAAAGAGACGGAAGATAAAGATCTTCAAGTAGGGATCTAAGGACTGGAATATATTGCGCGCCTTTTCCCAGAGATTGTTTCGTATCTTTTATAACGTCAGGGAAGATCAAAATTCACGAGTGTTATCTAAATATTGTCCTCGGGACTTTCTCGGTTTGGTGGTTTACATGAGAAAAATTATACGCGTCAGGCGGTTCGACGAAACTGCGGTGGGTTCTCTTGTGAAGTCAAAATCGCCGCGGGATTCTCGCGTGTTATAGAAAGTGTTGTGAAAGTACCAAGATGGAAAGAATCTATCCCGAATCTCCCCGAACAGTTAAGTTCGAGATTTACGACTTTCCGCGGAAAACAGACAGAGCGTCCCGATGCTCGACAAAAATGCTCGGCATCTGTCTCCGATCTCCGAAGAGAAGAAGCCCTGTCGAGTCTTTTTGACTTTCACAAAAACATACCTGAGTTGACGTTTCTTATAAGAAACTTGTTGTAATCAATTCATAATAAAATAATAATACATAAATATATAAATGACATTGTCATCTTGGAAAATATTATTTTTTCAAGTCGATCGTTGATAAAAATTTTTCAATTTTTTTTCTTAAGTCTTGGGAAAATTATCTCGTTGTATCACAACGTAAAAAAAAAAACAAAAAAAGAAAAAAAAACAGTCGTCGAGCAATTATTTCGACAATACTATTGTTTGTTCGTTACGCTTTCAGATTATTTGAGGAGAACGCGGAGTTGTTGAACATGTTCACGAAATTCCGTGATCTCAAGACGAAGGAGCAACAGTCGTCGAGCATGGAACTGGCCGAGCACGCGAAAACGGTCATGACTACTCTCGACGAGGGAATCAAGAGCCTGGACGACATGGACACGTTTCTGTCATATCTCCATCAGGTCGGAGCCTCCCACACAAAGATACCCGGTTTTAACCGGCAATATTTTTGGGTGAGTTTTCCATTCCTCGAAAACATACATCATTTTTTTGTATCCTGTATAATATTCGGTCACGAATAATGACACATGTCAACACGTAAAACAACGTGCGCGCGTGTCCCAGTTACAGGCCATTAACTCGAAGAGAGAAGGAAAATTGTAATGACGCGAAGGAGGAAAGGTAATATGGGACACAATATTTTCAATTATATCGGCATTCACATCAGCGGCAAAATGAAGATAAATGTATGAACAAGATGTAAAGAAAAAATACGATAAAAACTGAAGAGAGAACGAATTGTCGTAACACAAAGATAAACTCTCGCGAAATTTATTTTCGTATTTTTTTATTTCGCGCGGAGAACCTTTTTATTTTCTAACTGCGATAATAATAATCCCACATTTTCAAAAACCACGAACTTCGCTATTTGAGCACATATCAGAGAGAAAGAGAAAGGAGGAAGGGATATAAGAAGTTAGAATATCGTAAGCATTGTCATAGAAATTGTCACAACACTGGTAGTTTACTTTACAATACCGAGGAAAATGAGAGGAAATTTCTCGCTCGCCGGAGACACGTTTCGCATCTCTTCGGTGAACATTCTCTCTCTCTCTCTCTCTTTCTCTTTTTCTCTCCTTTGTGACGCGCTTATCTCTCGCAACATGTAAATCAAAGAGAGTAAAGCGGAAAGTTTTGGAAAACACTTTTGTGAACTATTTCAGTTACCCGTCTTGCGAGCTGGGGATTTTTACACATTTCAAGTACGTACAAGACACATGCGCGGTGTAAGTTTGTCACACGCGTTACTTAAAAAAAAAAACTTTGTTTTTTATATTTTTTCGTTTCTTCAGCAATGTTTATGTTATTTGATTCGTGCTACCTCTGGACGACAGAGGAAAGTACAGGCAGTAGCTCATAGAGAACTCGTAAATATTTCATAACTTTATTTACGATCACGTTGGCTCGAAAATATTTCAAATGCAGAACACGAAAATCGATAATCAGTAACGCCCGCGACGTCCGCGACTCGCGGGAGTAACGCGAATATAAATTGAGAACGTTGCGAAGCAAATAATAGAAAATTAAACAACACGCGCGCGCGCGAAACAGCATTTGCGCTTGTGATTGAAGCAAAAAAAAAACGTCGAGGATACACACGTAGGTGTTCCGACGTTGAACGTCAACGTCATCCCGCGTCGGCCTTATGGTATAAAACGTATACGTGATGCATCTGACAATTTTTATTTCTTGACCGAGAAATAAAATTGACTAATTAGATAATAATTTTAACTATTAGAGAAACAACAAGATCAGTAAATAGTTTTGAAGCAAATTAATTAATACACATTATAATTCGACTTAAATTTAATTTACAAAGGTCCATATCGGATTTTGCTTGATTCGCGTTAAATTTATAATTTGTCGAGTTTCAATGTTTACACTTTAAAAATATTTCGCACACCCTCGGCTCTTCCCGGTGGTATCATTTCTCTCGTAGTTGACTGGAGAGAGAGAGAGAGAGAGAGAGAGAGAGCCGTATACGATTCGTACAATTTGTATATTTGTTAATTTCATGATATTCTACATTCGGACGAGTATATATATATATATATCGAGTTTTTTGAAACAAATTACGCGCGCAAACTTTTCTAACAGATTGTGTTAATATAATCGCACGCACATTGAATCATCGAGCAATTTGTGTTGCATTCGAATTTTTCTCAACTCAGTATTTGTTTGAACAAAAGGCTACCAATATCAACAAATTTAATATACATTTGTCGAAATTATATTTAAAAAAAAGACCCGGGGCTTCTGACTTTTTCCATGATCAAAATTGCAAATCCACAATTTTATCTTTGCGCTATTACGAGAATATAACACTGCACATGAAATATATGCAATTTAATATAAAATATAAATACGCGTATCGAGAGAAGAGAAATTTAAAGAGTGATAAAAAAAAACGCGCGACGACGAAAAATAATAAATCGTACGATGTGTCAAAGAGAAAGAATCGAAAGAGAGAGAGAAAAAAAAAAGATATTCGGATACGCTGGGTGAAAACCTAAAAACCTAAATTTTTCCGATGCTCACATAACCATGTGAGCTAGTTTTGTTTTACTTTCTCGACGATCGCAATGAAACTTTCTTTGTGCGCGTGAAAAAAAAGCCTTTCTTTCCGTATCGCTTTTTTATTGCTGGAGAAAAAAAAGATGAACAAAAGCTGAAATATAACTTTTAAATTATACAAAAGAGATACAAAAGTACTTTTTTTAAAGTGTAAAATGGTCGGGAAAATTAGATTAAGTAAAATTATTATTTAAGGTTAATAGTCTCCCAAAAGAAAGAAAAAATGACGACAAGGTTAGATCAAACGCGACAAACTCTTCGCAATTATAAATTATTAATTGCGATACGTTGTGTAACATTTTTCGAAAATTTAATCGCGACCGAGAATATCTCGATTTTCTTATTTGATTGTATCTCGATCTTTGTTTCGCAGTTTTTCTTATAATTCTGGATTTTTATGTTTCTCGAACGAATAAAAAAACGAAGTAACTCCAAAAAGGTTTAACCAGGATATCTCATCACACACGGGGCGCCGCATTTATTCTCATCGCGAAATGTTCATCCACGGTTCAATCTCTTGGCATGAAATCAAATCCGGTTTGCCCTCCTTTCGGGGCCGCGTGGTCCGTGGACTTAGTCACTGTACAGAGAATTGATAATTCCTTGCTAGACAATCCTACAAAACCCATTGTCGAGTCGCGGACCAAATCGCAACACAATCGCCGATTCGATCGCCGAGGTCGCTCGCATTGTGCGCGTCTATGCCATTGGAAACGGATTTGAGTTCTTGGATATTTCACATGGACGATTATAAAATATAATTTCAAATCTCTCTCTCTCTCTCTCTCTCTCTCTCTTTCTTTCTTTTTCTCTCATAAATTCGAGTGTCAAGGAAACAGAGAATAATTCGAATCGTTCGCGATTAAGTGACATTCGAAACACACACATTTCAAAAATAGAAAACCAGCGATCGCTTTTTCTCATCTCCTCTAATCGAATTTGTCGTATCTCTTGCTTGTAGAAAATCGAGAAACCGTTTCTGGATGCGGTGGAGCGCACGCTGGATCACCGATACTCGGAGAACGTGGAGAGCATTTACAAGCTGACGATCAAGTTCATCATCGAGACGCTGATCGACGGCTTCGACAAGGCGCAGGGCGCGCAACAGATCGACAACGCACAACAGAGCGATAAGGCCAAGTCCTAGTCGTCCTAGTCAGGCAAAAGATCCGGCACGCGAGCGATCAATCTTGCGAGATGTCGACCGCCCTCGGCTCGCTCTCCCCGCGACTCGAACATGGGAATAACAGCCAGTTGCTGCCGAGTTTTCGGAAGACGACGACGACGACGACAACGACAAAACGGAATCGTCGTTCCCGCACCGTCGTCCAGCCCTCGTCTCTCCGTTTCACGACGAATAATTCCCAGAAAACGCGGACACATGCGAGCGCGTTTACGTTGTCGCGCTCGCCGGCCTGAGCGATCATATTTTCCCCCTCGAGCGGGTCTCGTCATTATCCGGATATTAATCGCCAATTAATCCCTTCGGGACTTTTCTTCGCGGAACGCGTCGCAACGCGAAGTGAAAGAAATTGCGCGACTCTCCCGACGATCGAAGGGGAACTCTCCGCCCGATCGATTTTGCTTAATTGAATTTTTGACGCCGCAAGGCGCGCAAAAGTAATCTCTATTTGAGCGAATGCACTTATATATGCGACGAGACGTCGAAAAGTCTCTTTTTAGACGTCGTTTTATCATTTATATATGTGATCTACATATTATACATATATTTATATTGTTATATTTCGTAAAAACGAAAATGACGATTGGTATATAAAATACAAATTTTTTCTAAACATTGAAAATTGAATATAACAGTGATTAGTTCGGACGTGCCTCTTTTTTTTTTTTAACTCGAGAATACTTTCGCAAACGTGGACTTTAATCCGAATTCAATCCTACTCGTCTCTTTTCGCGCGGAAATTACACCGAAACGAAGAGCGTATAAGCGAAAACCGAAGTTCGAGTCGTTAATTTGAAGTTTATCTGAAAACTATCGGGCGCAATCTCGATCGGATCTTCCACGATAAAGTGCCCCCGCAAGAGAGGAACAATTAATCTTTCACGCAATGTCGCTTTCACACATCCGTCTCTCTCCAGTTTTATAATTAACGTATATATTTATTCTCTTTGTGTAAAATATTCTCAGAATGAAAACTCGTTATACATAACAAAAGCAAACGATATATACATATATATATACGGCATGTATACAAATTCGCGTTTGCGAGAAAAATTTATGAAATTCGTGGCGTGAGAAAAATATTTCGATTTTTATTTTTATTCGGAGAATTTATTGCTCCATCGGAAATACACTCGTATTACTTGCGTAATTCCGCAAGAAACGCGATATAAAAAATTATATCGGGAAAAGCAACCGTTGTCATTAAAATTTATTTGATTTTTTTTTTTTTTTTTTTTTTGAACGAGTAGACATATCTTGCAACGAGAATAAATAAATTCCAGAGTTGTTATTTACTGCAAATTAATTTAATTTTTGTTCTACTCCGAAGAGTAGTTATTTACGCAAGCACGAAATTCACTTTGTAGCTCATGATTTTTAGTAGTTTTAATGGACGAAATATTTTCGTGCGCGCGCGCACGAAACATATTCGGCGGAAGTAAAGCGCGATATGACGCGTGTGTCGTTATTGATCAGACGCGGAGAATTGCAGGAAAGAGAGCTTGAGAGCTTATCTCCTCTCCGCGTGAGAGGATCGCGATCTTTTTAAGAGGATTGCTGCAACGTAACTTTGGTCAACGACATGATATACTTCGCCACGAGAGAGCGGGATAAACAGGAATGAAGGTCCTTATTACGATACCCATTACACGCAAAATGAGATCCCCGACTGACCACTTCAACCTACTCTCGTGAGATGATCACCACGGCCGTTTTAAGGGTCCATTAAGAACGCAAGAACTCTATTAACTCCCTCTGCGGTTTATTGCGAAGCTGATGCGTTAACAGATATAACGGCGACTCTTTATACAGTTCATCAATTATATCGCGCGTACATTTACTTCGTAAACAATAAATTGAGATCTTACGTGAGTGAAAAAATGGTTCGTTCCGAATCTCGCCTCTCTTGTGCGGGATTTTTTTCTCTCCCGTCAAAACCTTTTTGTATACACAGACATCAATTTTTTTTATTTCGCTAATTAATTAAGTTGAAATATCTTCTTTTGCTTCACAGCTTGTGGTAAATTGAATAAATTCTAACGAACCGGATAAAAATTTTGTATTAACTGCGGGCGGGCGTTTTCATTAGAAAAATCCTTTTACGTATTTCTATCCAAAATAAAAGGCACACGTAAACATTATGCACAAAGTAGATATTATTTATCATAATTGTACGATATTACATTGTTAGTTGTGTGATTCTCGCGTATGGATGAAAAGCCAAATTTTAATTAATCTCTCGTGCTTAAAGTGGGAAGATAATGAAAATTCTAAATTCTAAAAAAAACTTTCAAAATTTTTGGGGACTGATGAAAAAAAAATTTGTAAGCCGTTTAACGTTGAATAATCGCAAACCCGGTCCTACGTACAAAAATTGATTTGAAAGATCAGCACGTCCATGAATTTTACACTTTTTTAAGCCGAATGTCGATACTCCATCACACAGTATTACTAGTCAATATATGTGTATATATATGTATTGTATATATATATATATATTGTACGAATTGCAAACGTGTGTGCGTGTTCGGATATTATTATTTACAACTGCATCGTCGCACCGGGCGCCGAAAAAGGCGAATATTTCGGAATCATTCGCAATTTTAATCGCGTGATATTTTCCAAATATTATATATACATGTATTGTTACCGGAAGTTTACGCAAGATACGCCGGTGTTTCAAACAACCCGCATTCAGACACTCGCGGATTCCGCGCGTTCACCGATTTACACACACGCGTGTCTGCCTTCCAATGTGCATGACACTCGATAATTGACACAAACACCGGCCGATCAACACGCCTCGGATGCTGCCTTTATCCGCGCGAGAACCTTGGATTACATAAGTATCACGCAGGGATACATCAGCCCCGCAATGCGAAATGGAACGCGCCAGTGTATGCAAATGCGCGCGTTGTCTTTGAACGAGGTCGCGGTTGCTCGCAAAAATGCGGATATTACACACGTTTGTTCGTTTATCGTCAAGAGGGAGAGGCCCCCGCCATCTTGTAATATCTCGCGTGGTTTTAAAAAAGTGCGCGAGAGGCATTTTTGCGTAATGAAATTTTTTTATGAAAATTTCTATCATTTGGTTATTGGCAAAAATTTGCGTACGTCAATTATGCGAGAGTTTTTCTCTGTCGCGATATATTTCCGAAAGAAACTGCCGATCACATCACAAATATTGTTCATCAATTTTATACGCACATGTTCGCTAATGTAAATTATATATACTTGACAGATCGCGTTGTCGATAAAAGAAGACAGACAAGTTTGCGAGCTCTTTTCGGAGTCTCTTCTGTTTTTGTTTCGCTATATGGAGGTAAAGCGATATTTAATATAAAAGCATACGCGACTTGTATGGTTCTCCTTGTTCGTGTTCTCGTCGCGAGATCGATCGCGGCGATTGCAGGTGACACGTAAAACGGAGAGAGACAAGCGGAAATTATTGATATACCAGAAATCAATCACCGAATTGTTATGGCGAACGATCGTCATGATGACGAAGACCAACTAAATTACGTACAAAATGCTCGAGAAACCGGATAGAACTGGTCTCTCGTCTTTGAGTTGTTTTAAGTTTTAATTTTATTTTACCGCGTTCGACGACTTGTTATTTTATAATTTTCAGTTGTCTACCTTCACATCATCTTTTCAAAAACAGAAGTATAAAATATTCTTGAGTCTCGTACCATAGAAAAACAAATTGCAACGTAACCGTTACGCTTTCTCAATCAATTCTCTTGTTTTTTTTTTTTATTTTTTGTCACGACGAAACGAATGTCAAGTGAAAAGCCATTGCGTTGCGTTAGTGGCGGAAAGCGACAGAACCCTTCGACCGTCAAAGGGAGAACTTGTATAAATTTTTACTCGTATACGTAAGATAGGAATAAGTGTGGACGTTAGGGTAAAACAGCCCTTCGCGCGATGTCAATTTTCCTAGGAGGTTTCGAAAGGGCGGAGAGAAAAGCGCCCCTCCTCCGTTCTTTGTATCTTCCTCGCCATATTTATCTATCTGTGTTACTCTCTGAGGTCCGAGTGATTTGATTTACGTTGATCTCTCTACGGGAAATCGTACATATCCTTGACAAAAAGATTCGACACGCACGTTAACGACTGCGGGACATGACAAGAAAAACGTTTTTCAAACGTGCGAAACGTATTGCTAATAATTTATTAGATCCCGTCTCTCTCTTTTATCGCAATTATTTCTTTATCGACTTAATAAAAAGAAGTAAAATTAATTTTTGCGTTTAAAGACTGTTAAAATTTTTAAGACAACTTTGACATTTATTATCTCGGTTAAAGAAAGAGATAGAGAAAGAAAGAGAGATGCGGTTTGTTAACGCGCGTTTTTAAGAAATGCTATTTTGTCACCGAATTATACATTTTCAAGACACGGGGAATGAAAATTCCCTGGGGATGATATTTAAAACCGAGTTACCTAGCGTCTCAGACATTCGTCTCTCTAGAAGAAACTCGCTCCGAGTATTTTGCATCGAAAGATAGAGAACTAAGAATAACGACCTACTTGTTCTCTTGCGTTCTTCTTTAATCGCGATCATTAATACTTCGTCGCAGGACGAAGATAAATTGCACGGCAGAAAAACAAACGACGACAAAAGATAGATTTTCTTTGTTGATGTGTTTAGCGGTCCGCTCCCTTTTATTACGGCGCGTTACATTGGCTCGATCTCTCTCTCTCTCTCTTTCCCTCTATCTCTCTTTCCTCTCTCTGTTAATGTCATTAACTTTGTCAAACCTCACAAATGATCAAACTAACCGTCGCGCACGTAGAAACTTTCAGCGGGACGATAAATAACAAAAAAGAGAGAGAGAGAGAGAGAGAGAGAGAGAGAGAGAGAGAGCGTGTCGCGAAATCGATTTTACGGCGGAGACACGACACAGCGAGTGTTTTTTTTTTCGAATCTATACTTCAAGCACACGTTGAGCGCAAATAAATGGCCATTTTCCACATCTCTTGAACCCGAATTAAATTATCATTCGCTCTACACACGCGACGCAATTTATTATTAAAATTTATCGTAGAAAAAGGCGCTAAATATTAATGCGAGAAGCGTCTAACAGAAAGAAAGTCTGTGTAGAAAATTTATTTCACCTTGTAAGAAAAATAATTAAAATGTTTACAAAACCAATACGGAGCTAATAATAACAACAGAATGGTCGTGTGGATTAATATTAATGTAAAAACAAATAAATAAATTGATTGTCGTTAGTATTGGCTCGTATCGGTCTCTTAACATTTTCAATAGAAAGTCTTTGCTGTGTCGTGCTTGCTTCAAATACATTTATAAAACGCCATATATATTTGTTATAAATTGGTGTCGTTTCTTTCAATGCAATGTATTCGACGTATTCGACGTATTCGAAACACGTTGTGCTAAAAGTGTACGTAACACGATAAACTTCCGATCGACGCGAGCCACGTTTGACTCGTGTCACGTTTCGCGGTCGTCGTTTTGTCAAGAACAGAGGAAGAACGTGTGTGTACCTCAGAGAGAAAGAGTGCGTGTGTTCAATAGAAAGAAAAACGGAAAATAAGCGGAATCATGTAAGAGGGTGCGTTGCACTGAAAAGCGTTGATCGTAAGTATTTAAAAAAAAAAAAAAAAAAAACCTAAAATTGTCAAACGAGTAATTGTACGCGCGTATCTCATGTGAACGCACCCTCATATTCCACCGAGACGTTAAACTCGATTGACAAATTAGGTAAAATAATTATAACGCACCCGCGGTTCGCGACGTTTTTCACTCTGTCTCTCATCGAGATTCGATGATTTATTTTAATACCGAGTACGTATGAAAACTACTTGGGAACAAAATCAACGACTGCACGTTTTATATGAAAGAGAATAAGTATTGCGATTGTCGCTAACGTTTCTTTGTAATTAATTTGAATTCAATCCAATTGAATTTTATTCAATTTAATTAACAAATTAAGAACAAGTTATAGGATTCTTGAGATGTAAAATCAAACGCACGTGTAAATAGAAAGGCGTGTATCGCGAAATTGTTAAGTGACGTATATACGATGTCATTAACCAGCTTTCGCCTCGATATCGATCTCGAAAGCTCCGAGCTTTAATCGATCGAGCGACGAGGTAACCGAGCGCGTAATAATAAAAATATTATTTTCACTCGGCGATAAGATCAATCGAAACGATATACCTTAAGTGGTCACTTAGCGGTGCATTTACCCTGGCGTTAATTTGCATTTCTCGGTTTTTTACTCCAGTCGCGATATCGGCGAACATCACGAAAGTCGTTCACCAGAGCCCTCGACTTACTTTCCCCGCCGGCGAACCGCGATTGCGCCGCGATAAATGTTGCATGAAATGAATATTAAGAGTCTGTGTATATATAAAGCTGTGTCGCATGAGAAGATCGCGGACCACATTAGGCGAAGAGACTTTTTTCCCCACTCCCGAAATATAACTTAGGGACTTTGCCGGGCATCAAATACAAACATCAAAATATTGAAGACCAACAGCTTTTTCAAACAAAAAAAAAAAAAAAACAATAAAATAAGAATTGGCAGAAGAACATTTGAAGAGTAATAATTGAAAGATAAATAAAAAGAGGACGTTAGTCTTTCTTTCTTCTCTTTTCAGAAGGCCAACACACTCGCAATGAGTAATAATCTAATCGTTAGACGAAAATTTTATCTGATGTTGAAGAAGATTTCTCACAAAATTATTTTAATACAAAAAGCACGGACACATATTCCTTCGCTGTCGTAGAAAAGAGACTTTTGAGATTTGTCTTTTGAATTGACACAACGTACGAACTAATTACAGAGACATTTTTGTATGCCTGTCAACGTCCTCTTGGGATATTTTGGGCACTTGTATTTTATTTCGAAGTGAGGTCTATGAGGAGAAGGAAACGCGCGACGCATTTTATCCACACGCTCGTGCCACGTGCGAAGTTTGAAAAGAAAATATAAAAACGCAAAAAAAAAAAAAAAAAAACTAATAATAATTTCGTACAGAATTACAGTTAATGCACAAAACCGCGCCCTTCTTTTCTCGCAGATACCGAAAGACCTATGTAACCGAAAGTCTTCATGAAACGCGCAGGAAGCACATGAGAAATAATATATTACGATATAAGTATATATATATATATATGAAAAAAATATATAAATGCTAGTATAAAGAAAAAACCTTACAGTTATATGCGAATGTTGCATTGTCTATCTGTTTGTTCCATACAAAAAGATCCAGATGTATTATTGTATCCGATGGAGTATTATATATATCAAAATATATAATATATATATGTACTTTTTGCATTGTGTACGAAGAATCCTTTCTTATCTCGATGTTCGACTTTTTTTTGTTGCGAGTTACTTTTTCCCATTCGCTGCATCGCGAAATTGATATTTTTTGCAGCCACAAAAGTATGTACGAAAATATGGATATCCGAAATTTGTGTTCGGCAAACTTTCGGGATGCCGCTCGACTCGACCTGTACTTTCGAGTATCCGCGGGTGGCTACTTACTCGTCTCTGTTAACGCTCAACGCTGACATTCGCGCGCGAGATGATAATAATCAGACACCGTCCGCACGTGTTCTCGCGCGCGTCCGCCATGACGCAACAGAGTCGCAACTGCCCGCCAAATCGAGAATCGAAATGCGATATTATTCTCGAAGTATAAGAATCGATATATGCGCGGTGTTCCAAAACTCGTAAAAGCTCTTACCAGAGAGAAGCCTGAGAGCGGCCAAGCCCATAAGAAAATATGTAATCACTTTTCCGTCCCGTAAACTAGCGCTTGTCCACGGGTGGTGCACATTGAAACTACGCAGCCATGTCCACGAGCGACACGTCGATACGCTATGTCCACAGCGTGCGGTTCTATTCTGTGCTATGTGCACGAGTTTAAATGATCACCTTCTTCAAGTGTGTGAGAGTATATTCGCGATCGTGGATTTGATTTTTTTTTTTTGGAATTTAAAATGACCGGTCTCGTGATGAAAAGATGAGAAAAGAAAACAGAAAAGGGTAAAAAAAAAAACATTGCAACTTTCCACCCAATATAAATGTGATATACAAGAAAAGAATGCGATAGTCAAGAAAAGAATATTATTTTAGCAAGCAGCATCAGAATTCATGGAGTGTAGTCAGGTATCATCTCCTTTTACATCATCATCATTTGCTGCTCTTTGCTTTAAAAATTTTATTTTATTTTATTTTCTTAAAAACATTACGTATATATCGTACGCATAGATACAAAATACACAAAAAACATGTATATTGTACAAAAGTGTTTTATCGGTACACAAATATATATGTCTGAAAAAAATTACAATTCCAAGAAGGATACTTATTACTCTGGTTTATTGCAATTCTTTATCAGTGTATTTTCAATATATTATATTTTTTCAAGTTTTATTTTACAATTTTTTATACACTAGCACAACACAGGCGTGCGCTACGCGCACGCTATTGTTATTTTTATTTTGACGTGTTGTGTCAGTGAACACAGCCTGTCAACACGATAACAGCTAGTATATATGTATTACAAACCATATAATGTAATGTAATCCATATGAGAGATGTCAAACATAACGCATGAAAATTAAACTCGAAAAATAGTGACAGAAAAAAGTAAAGACAATACGTAACTACAATCACGTGACTGAACTTTTGTGTTTTTAAAAACGCGACTAAAGTAAGGTCATTGACCTCTCGTCAAAGTTCATTGACCTCTCATCAAAGTTCATTGACCTCGTCAAAGGTCGTTGACCTCTCGTCAAAGTTCATTGACCTCTCGTCAAAGGTCATTGACCTTGCGTCAAAGATCATCGAACTTTAGCAAAATATATTATATATAATATATATGAGTGAACGCGTAAATTTCAACTTCTATTTTAGATAAACAATAATTATTATTAAACTAGTACAGCGATGAATTATGTTTTTTCATATTATTGCACACGTTTTTTCTGGTAGGATTATAGTAGTTTCAATGTGCACCACCCGTGGTGACGCGCTAGCTGTTTACGGAGCGGAAAAGTGATTACATATTTTCTTACGTCAGTCTTCTTTCTGATAGGGATGACAATAGCCAAATCAATACTTTTGCTTTTTTATAAAAGCGAAAATGCTGATTGGCTGTCGTTACGCGTTTATCTACCGGGTTGTAATTGGCGTGATAGTTCACAAATCGCGCGCATCGTAGCGCTAGAGACAAACACGTAAAAACATTTGTTTACAATCGCTCTCAGACTTTTCTCAGTTCGTAATTCGTCTACTGGTGAAAAGAAAAACACACGATGAAGTACAGTGAGTACACAATAAATCTTGTCAAAATATCTGTCAAATACATGCATATTGTGAGAATTGTTTAAAGAAAATTAGATTACCTGTAGCATTGTGATTGCAGAAACTTGTTTGATAGAAGCTTCAAAGTGAATTCGTGAATTTTGAACCTGCTTCATGGGAGTCTATTAAAATTACAAAAAGTTTTTGAAAATCTATAGTTTTTTTAAGTGTTCAGTTAATTTTACATTAATAAAAGTTTTCGCGCGTAATTTTTACTGCAATCTTGTGTGAGCAACATATTGACATTTGTATTGTTGTATTATAGGTTATGTGATGTTTTTTTGTTTACATGTTTATCTTTCTGTATTGTGTGCACACATGTATAGATGGCATTCGTTACGGCAAAAAAAAAACTTTTTTAAATAAATGGATAAATTTGTTGCAGGCAAAATGCCGAGCGTTAAGGACGACTCCGAACCAGAAGGAGAGGAGATGTCGCATGACAGTAATGAGAGCAACCAAAGCTCTGCTTCGTGCGACAGTAGTGCGGAGCATACTGACAGCGATGATTCCTCAGAAATGGATGAGGACGAGTGTGAAAGAAGACGCAACGAATGTATGGAAAATCTCTTGGATTTGGAACGACAGTTTACTCTTCTAAAGGAACAGTGAGTGTACTTTTTTTTTTGTCAATGAAACATAAAATGCTAAGTTAAATTTGCTCGCGTAGCAAGATTTGAAAAGTATATAATTGCATGTAAAAGAGGATTTCACAGAATTCTACACAATTTAACTTCATTTTTGCGTGTTATTATTTTTCCAGATTGTATCGAGAGAGAATAACGCAAGTGGACACAAAACTTGGAGAGGTTCGTGTTGGGAAATCTGAAGAGTATCTAATACCGTTGGAACAACTGAAGGAAAGCATGAAGACAAAAACGGAAGTGGCTGGAATATTGAAGCAATACAGATTGCAAAATATTCAGAACAAATTTCTGGCGGAAGAGCAAGCTGCTTTGCAAAATTTCGAGAGCGAGAAAGAACTGATCTGGGACTGCATTCATAACGATCTCCAGGAGAAGATTCGCCGTTTGGAAGAGGATAGAAATAATATAGACATTCACGCGGATTTGTGGCTCAACACAACCGGAAGAAGACGCAGAAATCATTCCGAGAGGAGACGAGCTGTTTCCGTAGTAGGTCCTTACATTGTTTACATGCTTAACGATGCGGATATATTGGAGGATTGGGCGTTGATCAAGAAAAGTTTGAGTAGTCGAAAGACGGAAATCATGTAAACTCTTGACACATATAAAAAAGTAAGTTCAGAAAGATGTATGTATCCGTCTCTCTAATCGCGATATTTCGTCCAATTGGAGGTGATCTTAAACGGAATCAAGATAAAATTTCCACTTGTGACATTTTTTGTGTCTAACTTCTGTGTAGTGTGCCTTGGAAGAAAGCAAGATATCAAGTTTACGGATGTACTTCTGGTATACTAGTACAGAAGAATTCTGTAACTCTGTTGTTGAAACCGGACAAGTATATTTAAAACTCTGAAGTAGATAATGATTTATAAATTCTTATTGAAACGACAATTCTGTAAAATCACTTTGCCAAAATAAGTGATTCGTCGTTTGATACGCAGTTTTCTGATTAGCTATTTTCCTCTAGTCTATTTTTATTTTTTGTTGAAATGTGCAACCATGAATATCGATGACATTTGGTTAATTTTAAAAAGTATGTTATGTTTATTTACTTTTTTTTTTTTAGTCAGAATTACAAATTGTATTTTCAAACGCCAAAAAAAGGCATGAACTTAATGTAGTTCGAGTGAATAATCTGTTTCGAAGCGACTTATCCTTTATCATCGAGCGAGCAGTGTCTTGCTCGCGATTACAGAATTTAATTTCACATGATGAACCATAAGTTCTGCATATGCTGCACAAGAATGTACAGTCAAATTAGTATTAATCGATGATGAGGCCTCAGCGGACTTGTTCTGTAATTTTTCTCCATGTTCTACAGGGACATAAACGCGTGCGTCGTTCTTGCACAGACAAGTGATTGCGCAATGATGTAGAATTATCGTATAAGTTATGGAATAAGAAAGCAGATTTTGTTAAATTTTTTTCTGAGAACAAACTGATTGAATCGACTTTACACAATTTAACTGCCTCACAGCTGAAAACTTTCGAGCGTTTTTCATTTATTTTCAAACGTGTATGTAAAACCTGTGCGCGTGCGCGTGTGCGTATGTGTGTGTGCGTGTGTGTTGTGTGTGTACAAACTTGTTTAAATATATTTCATATTTTTGAATAAAGTTCAAGCATAACATGAGATACTCGTTTTATTCGATTTTTTGCAAAAAATGTTTTAAACTCGAATAAGACTGCAAGTAATCTTTTAGTTTAAAAAGCATGAAATCGGAATTAACATGCACGACAAAATTTTTTTTGTGCACAAAGACGTCTATGTAAAAACCACCAAATCGTTGATATTAAAAAATAAATTTTAGTTTTTTTAAATTAAAAAAAAAAAAAACAAAAAATGCAGTTTAAATCTGTAATTGTGGCATAGAGATTTAACTCTTTTTCTTTGTTAATTTATTTTTGCCGTGCAATAGGGAAAAGAGAAAGGGTAATTTTAAATGTAATTTTTATTTAGGCTATGTACAACACATACGTACAATACGTGACCCTTGCTTAAAACTATGTTATGCTCGTCCGGTATGCATTTCCACTTAACTTTTAATTCTTGTCCTCGACACAGTGTGATGCGTACGTCAATATCGCGCGCTTTGTCGCGCGTTTTACAAGTTAACGCATTTCCACACGTGTCTTATATCTTCGTTATGTTCACGTGTATGTGTGCGTATTATATATATATATATAATATTGTGTATGCTCGTGCATGTATACGTGTGTGTTTGTGTGTGTGTATATGTGTGCGTGTGTGTTACGATATGTTACAAACTTTTTAGGAACATTTCTCGTGGAATGCCGCGAGCGACAATAATAAGGTTCGCAGCGAAACTACACGAAAACAATGCGCAGTCGTCTGCAGCTTCATCCTCGAGTCGATATATTGATTAGACAGTTATCGAAAAATGACATCAATATAGACGATTGTTTGACTGGACAGACTCCAAGTATTTACGACTGAAAGGTGCCAGGGGGGAAGTCGCGAGTCCGAGCAATTTTATTTTACAACAAAACCATTTGCATTCCGCGCGTACGTACGAATCCCCGGGGGTGACTTTGCGGAGTCACCTTTTGTTTTGTTTTGTGCACAGGAGTAAATCGATTCGCATTCGTTATTCTAATTTTCGCGACTTTCACACATAGAGCTTACAGTAGCTTTGTGCATTTCGCAAATTTGAGAATAGAACATTGATCGAATACGTTTAAAATATAGTTACAATCTTTTTTCTACAATTGTGCACGTATAAAATGCACTCAATCTCGTCATAAACGCGGAAATCAAATTCAATATAAAATGGACGTTCTGTCGGTTCTTGAGCTCGAAACGCAAATGGTTAGAACGTTTGAAGAAATTCACGTTCTGTTACTCGGGAAAGCATCTTGACGACGAACGATCGTGACAATTTAACCGATTTGCGACAAAACGCGGAATCTCATTTCGACAATCTATTGTTTGTCAGTTTGGTGTCCATGTTTTCAAATTATTGTTATCTTAATGGAGTTAAAAATTGTCGCGACGATCCTACGGGCTCTCGAATACTTTCTCCAAAATCAGTTTAAAAAACCGTGGCACACAAACGTACAAGCACATCGCGCAAGTGTATCTTGGGAAAATAAAAAAGTAAAATATTATATAATTTATAAAACTAATATAAAATTTATAAATTCATAAATAAATTTGTGAATATATTTTTTTAATCATTTTATTATTTAATTTCTTCTATGTCAGGTGTGTTAATGTATACATGCGCGAAATCATATTTTCTCTCCATATTTTTCCAAGTGTAATGACACGGACACTTTGTCAATTTGTGTGCACGGCATCTAATTATCGCGAAGGGGAGAGGGGTGAGTTTCGACAATCCGATCGTCGCGACGACGAGAGACCCTGGCGCCCCTCAAATTTCGAACGCAAAACCCTGCACGGATATATCCCATCCCGTATCTCCTCTACCCCCGTGAGCATCCCCTTCTCCACCTTTCATGTTATTCAAAATTGTGGTCATCAACATAAGCACACAAATCAATGCCTAATATCATTTACTAAGGGTATGCTTACACTTTTAAAAGGACATTGAAAAATCGCATATGCTAGAGTTTATCTGCCGATTACGCTCTCTATGTATCTATATCCTTCTCTCTCATTTTTTTTATGTACAGTTCCATGTGCTTTTCTCTTTGTTTCTCTCTCATTCGCCGATTAACGAAAGTGCGGCACAAATCGTTGTCAAGAGACTTGTCAACAGAATAACGCGTCGGACGCGAGTCTTGCGCGCTCCGCTCGAGTGATAAGGTAAGGGTTATTCCGGTAGTAAGAGTCACTTTTGCGGATTAAAAACTTTTTGTATTTTTGTTTTATTAAAAAATACATTATTAAATATAAGCTTTAAAAAGATGAAAATATATTCCACACTTTTTTTTACTTGTATTTTTAATAATTATTTTTTAATAAATTTCTGTATTAAAAAAAAAAAAAACAAAGTGACTTGCTACGGGAATATGTGTGTTTTTATTTACGTGTGTTGTCTGTGACTTGGTGTGTGACGCGAAACCGAAAGAACTGTTATACAGGTCGCGGACACAAAATGGACACCTCCGCTATACACGTAGAAAATATACGGATCTTACTTTCTCTCGCGACAAACGGCGATATGTTTCACGTTCTTTCTCTTTCTCTCTCTCTCTCTCTCTCTCTCTCTCTCTGTACACGTTAATCGCAGAATTTTCTCTTTCCGCGCAAAATTACAAGACGCCCCAAGACCGTATAATATGTATCCTACGTCGCGGAAATCGCAACGAGTGCGAAATATCGTGCGAGTAACCGCCAATTGAAACTTTTCCATCGCTCACTTGTCTCTTCGCACAGGTAAGAATTTCACGGGTGTTCGAAGAAAAAAAAATCGGATCTGCCGCTTCGTCACCGCGCTTGAATTCTTCTCGACGACGTGTCGTTTCACCTGAAAAATCGCGTTCAATTCGCGCGCGACAATGACGAGCGCGAAAATATAACAGATGTAATGGGAGTGTAAAGCCTTTTTATTTACGCGTGCACATCAATCGCAACGTCGCTATTGCCGGTTGCGAGTCGAGCTTTGTTTGTTGCTGCAAGCGAAACGCGAGGACGTGTATCGCGAAATCAAGATGCAACGCGCGCAAGCTGATCAGCGATAACGCAAATCGATCCATATATTCTTTTGGTTTCTTCTCTTATTTTTCTTTCTCTTTTTCTCCCTCTCCCTCTCTGCGAAGTGGCGAAACATCGATCGGGCTCTGTCGATCTCGTCACTCTCAATCGACCCTCCTCTCTCACCGAGATCGGGTTCCGTCACAAGTACGCCGACGAATTCCTGACGAGATCCTCGAGTCGCCCTCTCGCCTCTGTTTACAATTATGTTTGATACTGTAACATCGGTGCGGCCAGATTCGGGTGGTGGGCTGTATTCATTCTCAGGGCCGAGATGCTCTTGTTGTACCATTCGTCTTCCGCCGACATGCCTGGAACGGAAAAACGCGTTTTTTTTTTTTAAACGAGACGCGGATTCGGCGATCGCTTCTAATAATCGTAACTGACTCCCACTCTCTCTTTTTCTCTTATCTTTAAACGAGCGGTTAAATGTATTTATACAATAAATTTCGACATGTTATACGGAGGGGAAAGGGCCGCGCATACTTGTAACATATTAAATTTTTGCGGAGCGAATTCGCGCGTTTAATCGATAGAACATCCGCAGGTTTTAATCAGTTGACGTTGAAAGTAACTCGGGGAACGGGGAAGGAAGAGCAGATTTCTTTTCTCTCGTGAGAAAGAATCGCGAAGTGATTCGATTTAACGACTTTCCGCGGAACTTTATCGAGTCGGGCTAATCGGTCGATTTGCTATCGCATTAAGACGTTAAGGAGAGAGGCGTTAAGTCGTTAGGGAGAAGCGACGAGAGATTACGAGAGCGCAGCGTGTATTCGCAGAGCGAATCGCGTACTCGCTCGCGCGCCCGAACAACCCGCCCGGCAGGCAGGCAATTCGCGAATAGTCTTGATTCGATTTAAAAGCGATATTCCATCTCGCGCCGGAAATAGTGTAAGACGCTGGAGCGGAAATGGAGAGAGCGTCTTGGAGGCTGAAGGCCGGGTAGAAGACGCGCGCTTTCTCTATCTCTCTCTCTCTCTCTCTCTCTCTCTCTCTCTCTCTCTCTTTCCCTCTCCTCTCCGTGCACGGGCGTCGGATTCGCGCCATTTCCGCTCCGGATTTTTGCGGAATCATTCGATAACATCGGGTCAGCGCCCGAAGACGACGGCGCGGAAAGCCGCCCGCAGGAAAACTGGACGAGACAGGACGAAGCCGAGCGAGGCTTCGGAGAAATTGGTTTACGTTCCGTTTTCATGTCCGCGAGATCTCTTGGAGGAAGAACCGATACGTGAAATTGTTGAAAAATAACAATTTATACAGAAGTTAAACAGAGAAAAGTAAAAGGAAGAGAGGCTGCTTCAAATGATGATCCGACGTGTTCCAATTAAGACTCACTGTCATCATCAAATATATCACGAAGATACGATTGTTCTTTTTCCATTATTTTTATTTTATTCTAAAAAAAATATATAAATTTTTTCTAACAAATAAAGTCGTCGATTACTTGAAAACTTGAACCGTCAAGGAAGAAATCTGTGAAAATAAAGACACATCACTCATTTGCATGTGATCCTTGACCCCAAAATGAGAACGCGAGATGGTTCGCGCACGTCGCGCCCGTTACACCACGCGGCGTTCGGCGGCGGCGTGTTGCATTATTTATGACTCACCCATCGCATCTTGTCGCATACCGGTGACGGCCGACATATTCGATGCTGAATGCGACATGGAGAACGGCTGGGTCATGCTCGGGTAAGACGTCGTGCCCATCTGAAACATCGTTGATGTGCCGATTATTGGCGTAATTTCTCGCAATGAGAGCGCAATTCTCGAAGGAAGAGAGAATCGATTCGCAACAGGATGTTTTAGATGGTAGTCGTATTTCGTTTCCGCGATTAATCCGACTCGCGAATCTGTCGCGTACCGCGCTCGAACGGCGAAATACGCGCGCGCGCGCGCGCGGCGGTGTTAATGTCGCGTGTAATTAATTTCCGCGAGCTTTACGAACGAGTGAAAATGAATTTCGCGATATATCAATGAAATTACGTTGTGTAACGCGCGGGAAACGATTCGAGAGCGTGTTGGAACAACGGTAGGAAAGTAATGCGGTAATTAACGTGTGTGAAACATAATTATCGGGGCTAGAAACCCGCGGCTCTCTTACGTGTTTTTTTTTTTTTTTTTTTTTTTTCAACTCCTCTCGTCAAGGCAAAACGAATGATAAGCGGAATCGAATGTGACGAGGGATATTACATATATGGTTTCGTTATAAAAAAATTAATTCCGCGTAATACGTTCGGAACTCTGATGGAGATTAATAAATGCGTCCGCGGTGTCTATTTCCTGGCTGTAATCAATTTTCCAGCGCGCGCGATTCTACATGTGATATCACAATTATCAAGTGTAATCCAACCGGGAATGAAACTAAGAGTTAGATCCGCTCGAATGTGTAAAAAAAAAATCTGCGCGTCGCGAAAAGACAATTTATTGTGTGAGAGAGCGTTTCAGGTTTTTTTTTGTTTTGTTTTAACTGAAGAAATATTATCAACCAAGAAATTATTACCACGGAGTAACATAATTTATTTTTCTCTCTCTTTCTCTCGCGTCTATGATATATACACATAAAATATCTGAAATATTAATTATTTTATAAATATATAAAACCTTTTATTTTTTTTTTTACAAAAGTGAACACGGATCAAAGTACATCGACGCGTGCAATTTGTTACTTTCGTGAATTTCGGCGAAATATTCGTGGATCGAGTTTCGATGGTTTTAAGGATCCTGTTAAATCGCGCGCTCTATAAGTTTTTTTTTTTTAGAGAAACCGACACACGCTCATGAATTATCGGCTCAATTAAAGCGGTAGGCATTCGGTAATCCGGCCGACCCAACTAATTAGCCGAAATGCAATTTAGCTATATCGACCGATAGCGAGATGCGCCGGACGTATACGCTCAGGTGCACTCTCAATTTAATACGTCGGTTAAAATCATTAACGAGAAACGCATCGAATTCATTCCATACACAGGACCCCCTCGAAAACGGTCGAAACTAACGTTATACCAACACTCTTCAGTAATTTTAACTTTTTTACACACACGAAGTGTTCGTAACTTATTTCTTGATATTGATCTTGTGTTGCAACACACTTAGAAAAACAATATTTATCTTTTATACTTGTATTAATCAAATGTACTTTTATCCGTCGTTCACTCTTCCGTTTCTTGAAAATAATGTGACAATGGAAAGTTTTAAAACCATTTGTTTTGTTTTCGTTGAAATTAATTTCGAAAAAATAATTTTTGTCGATGTTGTTTTATATCTGCTCTTTATCGCAGATGCGCTTTAAAGTGTTGGTAAACGCGCAAAGCGGTGGGTATCGATAATAATGAAATTTCAGAAGCGTCCTGCGCGCATCGTGAGGGAGTCTCACCTGGGGATAACGATTTATGCCATTTATGCTGTTGTGAGGATGGGGGTAGGGTTGATAACCTCTGCTAGCACCAGGATAGATATTCCTCATCATGGCACCTTGGCAGGCGGGTATCGGTGTCAGAGCTTTCTGCAACTGCTTCTCCTGCTTCCGATACTTCGCTCTTCTGTTCTGGAACCAAACCTACGCAGAAAACAATGGCGTGAACCAAAAGCGCACAAAGTCTTCATAGGTGCGCAATTTGTTTCTTTTATTATTTCACGTAAGTTAATTATTTTTAATAAAAAAACTACAGTTTTATATTATCAAATTTATTATTCTTAAATACTTGTTTTGTATGTTGTAGTTTTATTTTTCTTTATGTTTGTGTATCAAAGAATTGAAATAAAAATAATATTTCAGAGAGAGAAAAATCCACAGTTGACAGATCGGTTGATATTAAACGGATTACGGGTCAAGTTTGCTGCGAGTGAGTGTGTGCGTGTTAACAGCCCTCTCGATCAAGCAATGTCAAACCCTCTCGAACCAACAAGCATCCTCAATTTTTTTTCTTATCCCGACCCTTATTGGGTTCTAAGTTTACCCCCGGCCTCATCCGACAACCCAGGGCGGTTTACCTATCGCCATTTTGCATCGGGCAATTTCCATTGTTTCGCGGGATTAGTAAACCCATATTGGGGCTTGCCTGAGCCGCCACCGGCGAGTCACCCCGGTATCCACACCGGCGCGCGTTTCCCGCACCCTCTCTCTGCCCCTCATCGCGCGGCCACCCTCATTCCTTCCCCTTTCCCCTCTTTGCTTGTAACCTCCAACACAATCTCCACCCTCGCGTCCCGACCATCCCCGCCCAACCAACCCCTCTTTCCAGCAACCCCTCCAGAAAGAGAAAAGCTTGCTGCTTCTCGTCCCGGGTCGGGGTTAGGTTGTTTCCTCCCTCACCGGTGACGTCACTGGCGCCATCCGATTGGCCGATGCCGCGGTGGTGACGTCACCGCGGGCTCTCTCATTGGCCGACACGTTTTATCGACATTTCTACTGTACACCCTCTCATCACCGCAGAAGTGGGTGACACGAACCGGGGTGGCTCGAACGCGGCTCTGTGTTCTCTCTCGTTCTCTCTGTTTCATTCCCTCTATCTTTCGCTTTTTCTCTCTTTGACGCTGTATATCTTTCTGCCTCGCTCTCTTCTCGGCCCTATCACTCTTTGTGTGGAAGCATGGCGCTTCCGAAGAGTACCTCGTGAAATATCCGCAGCGATGTTCCCATATCAACCCCGAAACGAGACAAAAAAGTTCACTATACGCGTTTGCAGAGAAAAGAAAATAATATATATATATATATATATATTTTTTTTAATAAAAATGTCTCATCTATCTTTTTTTATTATTTTATATTATATTATCAAAGTCTGCTTATCTTTTATATTGTGAAATTATTTCACTCGTTATAGCAATTAAACTATTTGAAAAACTTAAATTTTATAAGTTTTGTGTGTTGACTCCAAATAAAAATTTCATTAAAACTTCTGATAAAGCGAAGAAAAACTGAATAATTATTTCAATTAATTATCTTTTATTTAATTAGAGAAAATGATTTTGATGCTAATTAGTTTTCTTGTTCTTTTGTTAATTAACCCGGCAGAAATTCCAAAGCGATACTCTACACAACAAAAGGTCGTCACCTACGTCATCTAGAAGTCTATATCGCGTTAACCCACGCCGAAGAGAGACCGACGTCAAGAAATTAGTAGCTCATTAGCAGTGGAAACATTTTCCACTAATGATTATTATATCTGTTGACGTCAGTGTTCATGTCACGTGTAATAACAAAAGAGAAATGCTCTCTTTGATTTATTTCGCACAAAATTTTAATAAAACGTATAAACTAATAAAAAAAAAAAGAGCTAAACAACTAATGCTTTGAAGTTTATCGGACTGTTAAATCGACGATAAATTGGCGCGTATAAAGCACGATGCCATTGAGAACCGAACAAGTTAGACAAGGCAATTTTGTGGAGTTACAATTGAATTTTATATTTAGATTATCTTCTGACCGTTGACGGTAAATTGGAACTGGAGGTCACAAGATCGGCGACTCGATCCCGATATTAAATATCGCGATAAAATAGAGCGGGAAGAAATAGTTTTGTGCGAGGAAGAATTTATAATTTCATTCCCGCGACACAGAATCAACTATTCCGTGCTATATTTTCTTGTGAAAAACTTTTGCACAAATAAAATTCATTCCATTTTGATATTTCACCGAAAACCATTGACTCGCAAATTCATTTTAAGTTTTGTAACTTCATGCATTTTCATGCCGCGTTTCGCGATTTTGAATTAAAAAAACCAAAAAAAAAAACAAAAAAACCAAAAAAAACTGACGAGATTTTGTATTTCAAACATATTTGATTATTTCAAAACGTAAAACGTCGGCGCGACAAGAAAAATTAGAAGAAAAACGTCACATGTTCATTCGTAAGAAATCGCGACACTTCTTTCTTTGCACAGGAAATTGCGACGAACGAAGTTTTACAGTGGAAACATTTATAAGAGACACGCCGGGCGAAGTAATGGAGTCTTATTTAGATTAAGTTCTTGCCGCGAAATTGGCTGGAATCCGAGATTACTTAGCCCAGTGGGAGAGACAGGAATGAAGAGAGAGAGAGAGAGATGGAGAGAGAGATAGAAAGAGAGTACCCGATTCGGATATGAAATATTATAGAGAATCGGGACGATTGTCAGAACGATGATAATCGGAATATTAATTCCGAGGTTGAATCCAGACGGATCTCTGACGTGAAGCGCGAACGGGATCGTTGCGAATTCAGTGGTCGTTGATTACAGCGAAATTATAGAAATTACTTGAGTTTGATCTTTCTTTTTTTTTCCTTTTTTTTTGTTAACGGCGTGTTACATAAATTTGCAAGTAAAGAAATGTTCCGTGCGCGACGGATGCGCACATTTATTTCGTTCCAAAAATATATATATATATATATATATACGCGCGAGGCACATTTGCGGAACATTTAACAAAGGGCTTGATTAACATTTTCATGGCGTTGCATCGTTCTAACTCACATATATGGAAATCGCGGAACGTGCGAGCCAAGTCGCATAATCAATCTGAATCCGCGCATTGGAATTCTCGCCGCCGGGCGATTTGCAATTGCATAAAACACACGCCCGACTTTCCGAATATATATGTATCCGGCGCGCGTTTCCTCTATTCGCCGCTAAGTTTTCAAATGTAATATATAAATAGAAAACAGTATCAGTGACACAAGTTGCAACTTTTTTAAAATCGCAAATTTATACGTACAACACATTTATCTAAAAGTATCCGTGTAGATACAACAAAGAAATACCATTCAAGTAATAATATTCGTAAAAAATATTGCGTTATTGAGTCAAATACAGGTGTAGATGTATCTAATTTATTCTGACAACGTTTTTTCAGTTTTGATCGTAAGTTTTCGTTCTTCTCGACGTCAATATAACTATAAATTTTTTTATTTGAATATTTTACTTGTTTCAAATCTCTCTGAGCCATTGAAAACAATTTGTGTCTTTTAATATAATAAAGAACACTTATTTAATGTAATAATTATTTATTAAAAAAAAACCATTTTTCACGAACTCGTCGTGCGCTCGTGTGTCGCAAAAAGGATATGAATTGAATTTCTCAGCTTATCGAGTTATCTGGGACGCGAACAGAAATTAATACGAGAAGCCTATACTAATTAGATTTTTTTAATCGGATCTGCGTCGAGTTTGGAAATACAAACAGCTCGACGGAGCTCCTTTGAATCCCGTTTTTTTTTTTTTCGCAGCACGTTTTTCCGAAAGATTCCCATATTTGTTTCTTCTCTTAAAAATTTTTTGCGTTTGTATTTTCATCGCGTGTATGCAAAATATTGCAAATGGTATTGTTCGCGCTTCGTTAGCTCGATACCGCGCGTTGCTCCAAAAAACGTGAAAAAAAAAAACGAATCTTGGAAAAAAAAAAGATGCTCGCGCAAATGAATTCCAGAGAAACTAAACTAAATAGCAATGCACGTTATTCGTCTCGTTTAAAAATAGGGGTTTTCACGATTTACTTCGTTGCTGAAGTAGTTGCTCGTTACGTGTTCAAATTTTTTCAACGAAAGCCAAATGTACGCATCATCCTTCAGTCAACGGTGACTACACAACTTGGCGTATACGCATTTCACGGATCGAACACGTTGCTCGAGGAGAAGAGCTAAAAAGGATGATTCCTTTTATTTGCTTCTTTCCTAGAAGAGCTTTTCGAGAACATACTTGCGCGCGCGCGCGCGCGCGTCCGCGTCCCTTAAGGCGCGCACTCTGCAAGAACTGGAAAGCTAAGAGTTCGTAATTCAATAACCACGCTCTCGTTCTCTCTCTCTCTCTCTCTGTCTGTCTTTCCTCCTCTCTCTCTCTCTCTCTTCACGTTCGCTCATAGAGAAAGACCGGATACCGGGGAGAAAGAGGAACAGCGAAATGGCTGTCCCACGGGGAGCGCGGCTCAAAATGTCTGCTACTTTGAGGACCGCGACCGAGAAAACTATCCTCCCTCGTACGCCTGAGAGAATACTGCACTCTGATACTAACCCACATACTAGCCCCGGGAAAATGGATACACAGGTAATGGCTTTCTCGTCGAAAAAAGTGTAGAAGAAGAAGAAGAAGAAGAAGAAGAGACCTGCCGCTAAGATACCCGGTAATGTAATGACGTACTGCTTGCGCGTCCATTTTGAAACTTACGGACTTGTCGCGCACACGTGACACACACGGACACTCGCGCGCACTTCGACAACGTAACTTACACAAAGTAAAACCAAGTCCAAAATGGCTTAGTTCATGTGACGTGCTCTCCGGGTAATTTTTTTTCTTTTCCTGTTTCGTCTAAAGTGAACTTTCGTTAAGTGCATTACCGAACGCATTTTCTTGAAACTGTTATATTTGCAAAAAAAAAAAAAAAAAATAAGGTCAAAGAGCGAGGCAAGTGTAGAGTTTTCACAGCGATTTTTGCTGCTACTACTCCGAGAAATTTTCTTGCTTCCCGTTTCAGATAAGGAAGCCGATTTTCTCGTAAAACGCGCGCGGCAGGGTAGGCTTCGATCGGAAGTCGAATCGAAGTAAAAAGGTCGAATGAAAACTCGGCTAACTCAATATCGCTGGAGCTCGAGCTTCTCCTTTCTTTTTCCTCGGGGCGTAATGGGATTTCTTGTGCGGTGATTCGAGAATTATTCTCTTACCGCGCGGTGTTACCCGATTTTTTTTTCACTATTATTATCGTTATCGTCGCAAATACTTTCGCTATCTCTCTGCATACATTTGCGTCGCACAGCTGTTCGGCGATAAAAGCGCGCTTTTCCGGACCGCGATTACGTTGATAAACATTCGATAAATACATTATGCAAAGCTTAATATGTATATTTAGAATTTTTTTACATAAAACATAAAATCGCATCTTTTACTCTCTCTTGTTATATTTTTTAACATTCGGGAAATTTCACGAGGCGCGCGTTTTGATGCACTTTTCACAGTCAACTTCCCGATTACGTTAATTTTACGAAAACAATATGTACTTTTTGAGAATAAGAAAATATAGAAAATATTGTAAAAAACGCGAACAAACAACGAAATATAACTCGTTTAAAACGTTTACTAAGAAAACAGATAATTGAAAGACCGAAAACGCGAGCAACAACTAAATGTTGAAAAAAATTTATAGATTTATTTTAATTGCAATGAGAAAATTACAATGCAATCCTTTTCTCTGCATAGAATATAGAAAAATCTATCTCGCGTACAGAAAGTGGAAAAGCAATTTGACATTGCAGCCGGAACTATTTCATTTTCGCTCGCAATTGTCACGCAATCGTGTGGGGAGGGAAACGTTTTCTCTCCTACCAAGTTTTGCTCCACGTTCCTATTACATTTATTTGCATGCTTGTGTATGCATATATACTATATATATGTATATATATATATATATATATATATATATATATACACATGTACATACGAGGCAGCGCATTACGTCTTCCTACCAAGTTTCCTGCAAACCTCACTCGAAATGACATAAATGGACGGAAACGATCCCCGCGCATCGTGTTTCGCCTGGAAAACGCTCATTCAACGTGCACTAATACGCGTTTGCGCGTTTAGAGAAATTGCAAATCGCGTAACGTTTGCGTCAACTCCGTCGGAGGAACGCATCTGCATAGAAACTTAAACTGCGACTTTATCGGATCGAGAGGATTCCGCGCGAATCGTCTTTGTTCAGAAAAGTTTCACGGAAACGTTTGAAATCATGACTGAACCAAAATTACGTCTTAATCATCCGGAGATGGTACACAAAAATAAATATCACGCGTACGGAAATGCATTTGAATTCTCGAGAAATTTATCTCTACATGCTATCACACGTCATCATTTTCCGCGCGTGTTGCGCGAAAGAAATTACGATCGGCAATGCGTGTCTCGTAGAACGAAATCGATGTATTTTTTTGAAGGGAGAGAGAGAGAGAGAGAAAAAGAGAGAGAGCTGCCAATCGAGACGACGTTGTGAATGTAGGAGCCCGTCCCTTTAAAAGCCGTCTCGCGAGCTAGTCACGGCATTCTGTTTTCTCAAAGATAGCGACACGGGCCGTGGAGGCGGCGAGAGGACGCGAGAGAGAAATAGACGGCGAACGAACGAGGGTGGCAAAGTTGAGATGAGAGTTGGGCGCGCAAGGGGGGTTGGGTGACGCTGTACCGGAGGCTGCCATTATATCTGAGCCGCCATTTTAAATTGAATTTTCTCCACCCTAGATAGATCTGAAACGTCTCAGGCTTGCCAGGCTCGCTATTCCTTCTACTACGAGAGAGAGAGAGAGAGATAGATAGATAGAAAGAGAGAGGAAGAACAGGCGAGGGAACGACGATGAGATGGCGGCGGGACGCGGGGGTAAAAGATGGGGAAGAACGCGCCCCGGAGAGAGACAAGAGAGAGAGAGAGGAAACCCCCCTTTTCTTACGGCGCCGCCGCCATCCTGGGACCTTTTTCTACTACCCGAGAATCCCTGTTTTGCGATGGATACCTTCCCTAAACTCGACCCCTCGATACCTCCAGGGAACGGCCAAATTCGCCCTTGGTCCTTCTCTCCCGACGAAAACAGTAGAAGGAACCTACCGAGTTTCGCGCGAATATTACATTGTGTTGCGGCGCGTCGATGTTACCTTACGCGAAATAGATGTGCCCAAAGTGAGTTATCGAGGCTATTTCGGATTTTTAATTTTCTACGTTGGAAAATATTTATTAAAATTACAAAAGAGTAATTGTGCGTCAATCTTTTCAATGATATTTACGACGCTAATTTACAAACAATAATTTAACGTATAAGATAAATATTCCATCAACCGGACGAATATCGGATATTTATTTAAAAAATAACAAAGTATTTATATATAATATGTAAAGTTAAAAACTATTATATCAATATCTAAAAACACATAATTCTTGAAAAATGCTTAAAACACACATTGAGAACTGTTATATTTATAATATTAATATTTACATATATAATAATTATTTCTTTAACAAATGTCCGACTAATGAGACAGTTTTTCTTACAGAAAAACTTTCGTAGCGCGAGTAGAAAAGTCAATGATATTGGAAGTTGATTCCGCAAAAAGAAACCGAAACGGGGAACCGAACGATACGTGCGCCCGCTTCTCTCAGAAAGGCAAGTTGCTCTCGCGAGAGGTAAAGCAGCCGAAACACGGAGATCTGCGTTAATTATAATAATGTGCGCTTTGCAGGTTACAGATAATTAGCCGATTCTGGGACATTTTGTGCGTCGGAAAACCAACTAGAAATGACATTTAAAACTGCGAGCCCAAAATCCTCTCTCTCTCTCTCTCTCTCTCTCTCTCTCTCTCTCTCTCTCTCTCTGTTTCTCTCTCACACACTGCACACTCGCTTTTTCTCTTTCCATTGCTCTTTGAGGTCGGAACGAATGCACAGGACCATCCGCGGAACGCGCGCGCGTCTCCTCGCGGCGGACACTTTGTGCATCGGTTATAACCGGTTGCGAGCGACGAGCGCAAACCGCGTTTTACTTGGCATCGCAGTTTAACAGGGTTAAGTCGCGGCGGTTCCCGGGCTTTTAACTCAAACAACACCCCGCTGCATTATATATCAAAAGAGCGCAACGCACCGGCGACTGTTTTAATATGTACCGCTTGCCCGGAATTCGGGGGCCGGTATATAACGCGCGCCAACACACACACACACAGTACACCAACCAACACCGGTCCTCGACATCTCGTTCTCTCTCTTGGCCTCCTTCCATCCTCCTTCTGTATCTCTCTCTCTCTCTCTCTTTCTCTAGCTTCTCTCTCTGTCTTTCTCTTTCTCTCATTACCGAGTCCTCCGCCCTTAATGTCATCACAAACCGCACCGCTATCGTAGAATTCATGTCGGAGCAATTAAAAGTTCAACTACTAGAATTTTCACTAGAAAACGCGATCTTTTTTTTCTCTCTCTCTCTCGAAACACTATGCTGCGTATGAAAAATGGCGTGCGAGTATGTTTCGGTGAAAAAAACGTTTACGTGAGAAAGAGCGAACACATCTCTCAAAATTACTGTGCGTCCACAATTTTAGCGTCAACGCCGCTCTTCGAGAAGTATGTTGAAAACGTCTCCGTCCCCATCCGATCGATTCCACAACCCTCAAAGAATATAGGGTGTCTTGGATCGACATTTGCGCCCGTAATTTCATTTCGCCACCCCACATGCGCGTCTTTGATTCAATTACGCGGTGAGTCACGGTCAAAAAGATAGACAGGAGATAAGTATGCCTGCGAATTTTTTTGCCGGCATCGTGCAAACACGTAACGAAGTTTCGCGTTGATAGTGTCGCGCATTTACGCGAGAGCGCGTGTCGTAAGGGTGTGATGTGTCCAAAAATATTCTCGCCGACTTGAATAATTCAACGTAGAATCTACAAGTTAAATACCGCAGATCGGCTTAAAAATGCCATGCGATTGATATATTCTATAACGTTCCATCTCTAGCCCTCAGAGTTTTTGGGGCGCTTGAATTTTTAAAAATCGTCGAACGAAAAATTTGAAAATACTCTCGCGTCGATTATCGATCCATCCTTCGTGTCCGAACCGGCCCGTTTCGGATTCGGAGAATTCAAGAATTCGTTTGTGTGTTCTTTCGTTGCAGCGAACGCTCACCTGAATTCTGGCCTCGTTCAATTTGGTGGTCCTCGCCAATTCCTCCCTGCAGTATATGTCTGGATAATGAGATTTCGCGAACGCCGATTCCAATTCTGCCAGCTGCTCCTGCGAAACAATTGGAAAGCCGTGGTAAAGGCCGATTTGAACTACCCGGCAGGAAATTTGAACGCGATACGAAAGATTAGAGTTAATCGAAATGTCATTATCGATCAAAGGGTTCAGATGTTTCTCCGGAGAAGCACGTGTTTCCGAGATATCTTCGCTCGGCGAAACAAAAGCTTCGTCGAAAGAGAAAATATTAGCGAGCAAGAGGGAATGGGGGGAGAAACACCTTCGATCTTATTTACCAGACTATTTTTTTTGTTTTTCTTTTTTTCTATCGTACACAGATGTATTTTTTACTTTGTTAGATGTGTAATTTCTTTTACTCGCACACCAACCTGTGTGAAAGTGGTTCTGTGTCGCCGTCGGGCAGGTGTTGGACAACTAGCTGTCGTAGGTGTGTGACCGATGTGAGGACTGGAGGCGCAGGGGTCAGGCTTTAACTTTTTAAAAGCGCCTTCTGCTCCTGCAAAAGAAAAGTAAGTGATTCTCTCATTTTTTTTTTCACTAGAGGACATATAAAAAACAAAAAAATCCAAATTACACATAAATGAGATATATGCAAAACTGGGATATATATTTACCAAAAAACTGGATCTACACGCGCCTTGTATATTTCCCTTCGAATTAAACCGCGATGAGTTGCATTGTGTCGTCGACAACAGATAAATTTCAGCTTTGTTAACATTGCATTAGTCAATTGTATTGTGCGTGAAGGTACGTAATCACTTCACAATTTCATTACATTAAATTATTCGTCGATTGCGCTTGAAATTACTTTAATGGCGTATTAGTGGCCGTCAAATAATATATTGAGTAGCGAAATTGTGCATGTCGAATAAGTATCGTAATACGTATCAGCGCGTTAAGTTATATCGAATTTTATTTATACATTTAATCAATAATCCCACCGGAATGACATTACGGTTTTTAATACGCGCGTTTATTTAACGCGAGCGCGAGCGATAAAGAAGGATATAAAGAGGAAACGCGTCCGGGGCGCGTGGAGGAATTGCGCGAAAGAAGCGGAAAGAATTCTTCACGGAGATCCGTGAATCCGTAAATAAACTTTGCATAATTCCGCGGAACGGAATTTCAATTCCGATGATCATCCACTTCGACGGGAGGAAGGGGAAAGCGGAGTGGCCTCGTGAAAGCGCGACGGTGTACCGTTGGAAAACTCTTTTCCGCGGCTAAACCGAGTTATCCTGACATTTTCCCCGGCCAACGTAATAAACAAACTTCGCTAACGATCTCGGCAGCCGGCGCGAACGCGCTTCCCGACGACGACGACGACGACGACGACGACGATGGTGAAAACCGTCATCCCCTTCCGCGGATTCCCGCGCGTATTGTTCGCCCCGTTTAGACGACGAGAGAAAGAGAAAGAGAGACTCGGACAGGAGAGGAAACACGGCAACCCGGTGGTGTCAACGGCGTGGGCCAAAACTCGATTTCCCGTATCGCTTTCATCGCCAGAAAATTCGATATTCCACGGGAAGGCGCGTAGATTCCGTACAACTTTCGACCTCTCTCGAGCGCGAGAAGTCCCGTGGCTGTCGTCGTCGTCGTCGTCGTCGTCGTCGTCGTCGACGTCGTCATCGTCTTGGTGCGACGCGGCACACGGCGTCGCGACGCCGGCTTTATGAACGAACGTAGGTATCTACCGGGTCTCGCACGGTCTCGGGGTAAGCGTGGCGAGCGAAGTCCCTCGCACTATGCTAACTTGGTTAGGGCGTTAATGACCTAATCATGTTACATGCTGATTCAATGTTCAAGGATGAATGCTGTCCACTTTACATACCTTGCCCGGTTACCCGGTGAACGGGGAAACTCGGTCAAGTTCAGCGAAGAAGGCGAAGGGCCCCGTGCGACCCGTTTCTTCGCCTCTCGTTACACTTTTTACGCGGTTTTTTCTTTTTGTATTATTTACATATATTTTCAATTATAAAATTGTGCCGGAGATGAATTTCTCTTCGCGAGAGAGTTTCTTTTTTTATTAAATATATATTAAGACATACACGCACGTACACACAAGAGGTCTGTTTGAGTTTTTACATATTTGAGAAAACACGGAAAATGTTGTTTTTTTGTTTTTTTGTTTTTTTTTTTGAGATTCGTTAAACGTATAAAAACGAGGAAACCAAGCAAAGAATAAAAAACACGCAAAGTGAATTTTTCGCACTCGGCATTCGACAGATACATATAAGCACGCGCAATTAAATTCTAAAAGTTGTGATAACGCGGACTGGAAGGAATACTTTATTCCATTAAAAATATATCCCGTTTTAACGCAACAAAGAGCTCGTCCTAATTTTTTCTACATGAGTATATAGATTGAAACGAGATTGTCATAAATGATACGAAATAAAATTAATGTCTCATAAAAGGTATCGGGGTAAAAAAGTGTTGTCCGCGATCTTTATGATGTCGAAATGAATTTTTCCCATTAAATCACGGTGTATGGCAATGAGATATCGACCATTAATGCGACATATAACTCGCCATTCTTTTTTGTGTAACCTCCATTCCGCGAAAAATATCTTTTTGTTTTCAAATGAAAAGTTTTCCACTTGTTACGGAACTTAGCGCTGTTAATTTTTTCGCGATTTAATGTAAAAAAAAAAAAAAAAAAAAAAAAAAATTACAAGGTTTATTATTGAATTGTATATTTAGATTCCCGTGACATACATACTCGCGCAATGCCGTTTCAATTTGTGCATCGTTTTCATGCGATTATAGAGTTTGCGATTGCAGAAAATAGACAATTTACGTTTGCCAGTTTTGTATCTTTGGCGCAAAAATCTGTTTCGAAATTATGCCCCGCTGCATAAAATGTATTAAAACAAGCGCGGCAAATAAATATCTGCGTTTACCAAAAGGAAAACAGATGCTATTATAATCGCACAAAATCACACGCCGTTACATGTGTATCATGAAAAACGCAATTGTTCGCCCGATATTAATGAAATTAACTCTGCACGCAAAATATAATCGGCAATACGTTTCGCAATACTTTCTCTCTTCAAATTTAGCACAGAAAAATCTCTTTTCCATATCTGTATTTTTTATATCTTTGCCTCTCACTAGAAAAAAAAAAAATACAATTTCTTAGTTGAGATTTACAAATAGAAGTAAAAAACTGTATATTTCAATTTTTATTATCGTATAAAAAATGCAGAACATCTCATAATATTAACAAGCCATATTTCTCAAATCTTTTTTCTTCACGGCAAATTTTTTTATTCTAAAATTCTGACAACACAAAAATTGCAGCGTGTTTTTTCGAAGAATAAATTTACCCCCATCGGGCAGAATAGAGTGACAATAAAGTGCCGGTTAAACCGTCCAGCCGTTCGCAGCCGAGTTAACCCTTTGTTGGAGCGAAGTTACAAGCTGTTCGCCGACAATCTCGTCGAGCGCACTCGAGAAAGGAAGAAGGAGAGCGCGCGAGAGCGCATTGTGGACGACGCGGCGCGACGCCGGCGGCGAAACATCTGCCCCCGCAGATTTTCGGAGGGGAAAAGGAGGCATCATCGGGGGGGAGGGTCGAGGGTAATTAGCGGTGATTTTAACGAGGTGACACGCGCGACGAATGACACGATTTACAGGATTACTGGTAATGCGGATCACGATGGCCTTTGACCCACAGCTGCCGGCCGTCGGCATCTGCTGTCACATTACGACGCGCATTATCGAAATCCGCGAGGTGCGATATCCGCGAGTTTCCGAAAATTTATTCGCCGTTTCTCTTCTCCCGGTAAATCGCGAGAAAAAATAATCGATGATCGTCACTAGAGATATCGAAGAACGAATCTTAACTTACGAATTCGACGGGATGAAGGGAATATGTTTCTATTTAGAGCAAACAAGTTTTTTTTTTAAAAAACGACGACTGCGTTTGATTTTTATTTGCTCTGTTTCCTTTTTGTTTTAATTTGTCAAATCTGTGAGATTTTTCCTTTCCTATAAAAATCTATCGACACGCTCGAACTTTAGTTACAACCAACTTAAAATTTCTTTTTATGAAGAAGAATCTTCAGAAAGTTGCAGAGGAGAAAAAATCTCGTTCCGGTTTAATGTCAAAGAATTCGCTTTAGCATAAAAGTTTCGAATTGAAACTTTTTGAAAATTAAAAAAATTGGCTTTTAAATAAAAGTTTCATCGATATCTCTACAAAGATTCGTACGATTTGAATGATAACTGGATCTAAAGAAATCTCTACAAAGCTTGTTGTTACCCAGTAGAAGATAAAACAAACTTGTTTTCCCTCACGAGTTTCGGCTGAGAGCCGAGGCGATGTCACGGTGACTTTGCTCCAACGGGAACATGAACGCTCCTATTTTTAAGGAGGACACAGAATCGCGCGCGGAAGACCGTAGTCGCTCTCGAGTACTTTTAATACCCGGGAGAACGCGCGCGAGGGGGTTAACGACATTAATTTTTCCCTCCACCTTCCGCCCCCGTCCTCGTTTTATTCCGCTACCTCTTTTTCTCCCGTCGCGAAGCGGCCCGACGCTGTCGGATTTTCATTTGCATGAGAATTCTGCGGTAGTCTCATTTCGTTTCCGGAAACCCTGACCTTGAAGGGTGCGACGGTATGCTGCGGGTATCGTCGTTTGCGGATCGGTGCCACCGCGTGAAATTCATTTTCGCGTATAATAAGACCGAAAAAATCTTAACGATCGTTAATCGCGCTCGACCTGTTGAATTTTGCACTTATCACAAGTTGAATTTTTAGCGATAGAAATAATACAACAAAAACTATTCTTATATGTGTAATTAATAATTATCATAAACGTAGCTTAATTAATGAATCGGTAAGTCAGCAAACTGATGATTCTAACTTATCGTATTTAGTTTTTGTTTTTCATTTACATCAAAACTTTGATATAATTCGGCGAGAAACAAAAGATGCTTTTCAGTTTCCGAAAGTGCTTTTAAACAAGTGCAATATAGTTGATGTTTCGAGCACATGTTGTGAAATATGAGTTGTCGCGATAAAAGTAACAAAAATAATAGGGAATCGGAGACGAATCCTTTTGATCCCTATGTACCTTCGACTCATCGAAACCGGGCGCGAAACTTGTCACTAGTTCGAGTCTCGTCTGACGTTTCGAGCCCACCCCATTAGCGCACCCTTGATGGGAAGGGTGCTAAGCTCTCTCTTAAGTCCCACTAGCACATAATAATAGTCCATGGAACAGGTACCACCATATGTCTGGCCCACCCGAGTCCATTGTCAACACTCCGTGCTCCGATCGTGTTGCCAGCGTGAATCCGTGCTCGAGGCTCAACAAGCGGAAAATACGTCTAATGTCGAGATAACGCGATGTCCATTTTTCTCTTAAAAGTTACGAAAGTGTATCGGATTACAGAGTACGCGTGGAGAAAAACGATTTAATTCAAAATTTTGATCACGCTCTTTTACTGGATCGAGATGACAATATTGTCTATAGATTCAAAACACTCCGATCTGTTTCGCGAAGTGATAATTGCGTTTTATTAAAAAATCGGGACTTTGCTCTTTGTTGATGTTAAATATTTTATTATTGCTACTTTCCCTCAATCAGTTACAAAGTCAACGGCGCTTACCAACAGTGGTGGCTCCGACGCTGCTTCTACCGGGCGTCGCGGCTGGCGTCGGTGGACTCGCCTCGAGACCCTGGTGCACCCCGTACAGACCGAAGTCCTGTTCGTTCGAGCTGGCGCTGCTGCACTTTCTCTTCTCCTGATTGTGATTCAGATGGAAGCTGTCGTTCTCGACCAGGCCGACGCCGAGCAGACCCAGATTCGGCCTGAGCTCGTCCATCAGCTTGTTCTGGCCGCAATTGGCAGCCGCCGCCGCGGAGAAGTTGAGCTGTCGGCTGAAGATCGCCGGGAAGATGTTGAACTGCTGATGATCGAGGCTGAGGGCGGTCGTCGGCAGGGACGAGCCGCCAC